TGTGTGTGTGTGTGTGTGTGTGTGTGTGTGTGTGTGTGTGTGTGTGTGTGTGTGTGTCGCTAGAGAGCCATTGTGTTCGACAAAACTAATCGGCCTGATACTATAACTAAATGACCTTTGTCGACGCTTCAGGTTATCGAAAAACAATAAAGATTATAGATACAGTATCGCGATAAAATTTTATTATCAATATTACAATTTCCCCTGTATCTTCGTGATAATATTGTTCAATAAATAATTTTTTTACGTCCAAGGATCGATTCACACGGTTTTTTGTGCACTGAATACGATTCCGTTTATCAAATAGTTCTATCATGTCACAAAAAGTTGAAAAATTTCTGATCAAAGTTGTAAAACAGAGATATTTTAATATATAATATTTAACATATATAATATTTTAATATATATTCTGTTAAATCTACGCGATCATATTAAATGAAAGGTTCGAGAAAAAAGTAACTGATAAGCTGAAGGAAGGGCAATTCGGGATTAGAAAAGAGGGAGGAACGATGGATGCGATATATATATTAAATTATGTAGTTAACAGAGAACTGAGCAGAAAGGGGGGGGGGAAGATATTCGCCTTCTTTGCTGATTTGAAAGTGGCATTTGACAACATAGATAGAAGAAAAGTGAGTCAATGAGGATGGAGATAGAACCTAGAGAAGAGAACCTGAGATTGAGAATTATGCAGACATATATAAAGAAATGTGGTTAAAATAAGTGACAAAAGATCAAAAGAATTTTGGACGGACAAAGGTTTTAAAGGAATGTCCCTTGAGTCCGACTCTATTTAATATGTGTGTGTGTGTGTGCGCGCGCACGCGCGCGTGTGTGTGTATATTGTAATAAGAAAGGAAAAATGTTGATCAATTATGTATGCTGACGATTAAATCCAAAAAAAGTATTCACTATTTAAAATACGCGTATTCGGATAGAACAAAATTTCAATCCATTCTCGTTTGCTGGATTTGTCTTATATTCGTTTAAAGTTAAAATTTATTTAATATAATAGAATGGATTAGATATAATGTATAATAAAATAATAATGTATAATATATATGTTATATTTGTATGGATTGTAAGGAATGTAAACTGGAAGCCATCCTAAGCTGCGAGGCAAGGATTAATAAATAAATAAATAATAAATAATAAAAATAAATAATATGTTTCATTGCAATTAAAATTATAAATATTTGTTAATATTTAATCTTTAAAACAAATTTATTATCGATTATAACTAAAAAGATACCTATGATGATGTTAATATTGCATCCAAATTATCTACATGATGCAATATGCTGACGCAATATGCTGACGTTATTTTTCGTCATTTTGACGTCAGAATGACAATTGACGCCAGCTTGTTGGATATAAATTATTAAGAATTCGTCAAATGTGTTTTGAATGTATTATTCAAACTTAAAGAGCTTTCAAGTCGCTGAGACTAATCTGATAATTACGAACATAATTATCAAACTTGACAACATATTTAATTTTGACACAATTACTTGACATATGTAGTTATTAACATACGTCTAACTATTGACATATGTAATTTAAAAAATGAACACGCTTAATTCTCCGTCTGCAATTTGGATTAAATCTAAAAATATGATTGCAGCCGTAGAATTAATTTTGTGATTATTATAATAAAACTTCTTCAAATATACATGATCAATTATATACTTATACTTTACAATATAAAAGATAGATATTAAGATAGATTTATTTTGTAATTTTAACTACACACAAATTTCTCAAAATTACAACAAGATCGGTAAAGCAATTTGATAAGTACCGTATTCAGCGCCCAGAAAACTGTGAACTTTCGTTCTCTACGTACTTTCGTTCTTGTGTAATTTTTTTTTTTCCTTAAACAGGCTAATTAATTAAGACTACATTCGAGTAAAGTACTCTATAATCTGATAGATTTACTACAATAAACCTATAATCCTGTACAGAACTCAATATTTTTCGAAAACGATCTACAATCTCTCGCTGAGTCAAGACCTTCTTCCTTTCGGATCGAATTCGTTCCTTCCGGTAACCAGCTGTGACTTTGAAACGATGACACCCCTCAATCTCTGTCCGAAACCTTTTTTTTCTGCCAACTACTTTCCTTTGTTGAGTCGTAGTATAAAGAATGAATAAGAATTATAAGTTAAAACAATATCGGAGAACGATCTAGTTCCAATAATCTTATTAAGATGAAAATCCAGCCGGCAAAAGAGAGAGATGAATAAGAGACAAGTGAGAGAAAGACTGAAATAAAGAGAAAGGGATGAACGTAGACTGCATAGAGCGAACGACGTGGAATGAATGGAACGTTTTGCGTACCAAGTTGTGCCTTTGTACGAAAGAGAAAGACATACATGCGCCAATCGCTACGCCATCCGTGACGCAGTCGGTGCGTGCGTGTGCGTTTCGTGAATTATTCACGTCCTCTTCGCAACACTCGCTCTTTATCCCTAAGCGGAAGAGAAAGAAATAAAGAGAAGAAATGAAAGAGAAATAAAAGCCGATTAGGAGTGATAGAGAAATCGATCTTTCTTGGAAATTGATGAAGTTTATCGACGTGGCACATGAATGATAAAGAGAAAACGAGTGGGGGAAGTTGAAAGGAGGAAAGAACGGAACAATCATTCTTATCTATCCTACTGTTAGTACTTTTCTACCACACCATTTCCCCCAGTCAAATGAATCAAGGTGTCAACGTACCGTTGATAACAGATGGCAACAGGTGATATGAGATCGCTATTCCTCTCCCTGATACTTGTATGATCTCTCAATCGATTCTTCGTTGCGATATTTACCCGACGGCGCCGGTATGTCACTAATATTTCAGAATTTTGTATCGTTACTTCGGCTATCCGTTGTTCACTAGGATCTGTACCGGAGAACTCACTGTAGACTGAATGGAAATCACGTATGGAAAATTCTGTGGGATGAAAGAACATGATTTTCGCATTCGAAGCGAAAGGAAGAGAAGGAGAAAAACGTGATGGTGGAGTTTTTGGAAATTTCTACCAATTCCGGTAAAAGGGCTGTCCTTATAATGAATTGTCTAATAAAAATTGGTATGGCACACGACGAAACACACCGTACACACTACAGGAATTCTCCACCGAACGACTTGACCGAACTTAGATGAGGCAAGAGAAGGGTGATAATAGTGGGGGAGGAGGGAGGGTGATTGGCACGAGGACAGCTCTAATAGATAAGGTCACAGCATTGCACAGCATTGGTCGATCTACTCTTTTTGTAGGGGCTGTTGGAAGCCTCTACAAAAGGCTGTTGGAAGCTAGCAACAGCTGGGAGGAGCTAAGAAATAAGAGGAGGAATGCTCGGTCACTAGTGACTCATGTTAATAGTGTAAGGGTAAATTTTTAATTTCTACAATTTTTGACTAATTCGAAAATTATTTCAGGTCGAGTACGTTCAATTATTTTTTTTTTTTTTTTGGAGGAAAGAAATATGATTTTGTTCTCTCGAAAGAAAATTAACGTTCGGATCTTATGTGACATTAGGAAAAGTTATTTAATAGCAATGACAGGAATCGCGTAATATTTAGGAAAATATAAAGCATATTCTTTTTTTAGAACAATCTAATTTTGATAAATTAAAATAATATTAGGTTAAGTAAAAAGTCATCGCATTTTTTTAAAAGACATCTATCAGTAAAAACCGCAATTACTTTCTTACCAACAATATAAATATATCTTGATAGAGTAAAGTTTCAGCTTTAAAAATCTCTTTTTTAAATTATACGATACGACAATTTTTAATGGAGTTATGAGCAATTAAAGTCAAAATAATTCTTTTATTTAATCCGCGATAACTCAGTAATCAAAAGTCGTAGGAATATTTAAAAAAAACGATTTTGTAGGGAAAGTATCAAGCTTTCACGATAGGTAATCGAAAATTTTCTCAAATTCGTTTTGGACACGTTACAAATCCACAAAGTGAGAAGAAAATTTTTCGTCTTTTTCAGCTCGTAGTTTTTGGTATGTAAAAATTATCCAACTCATATAAACTTAAAAAATGTGATAAGCTTTTAAAAGTAGAGATTTCAAGCTTTAAAACCCTTTTTTTAAATTTGAATTTCATTCGTTATTGACGAAGATATTGTATATAGAACTTTGAGCTAAAAAATACGCGATGACTTTTTACTCAACCTAATATATAAAATAACATATATAATCTAATAATAAATTAAAAAACCAGAAGAAGACGGATCTATTATAAATAATCTGATTTTGCTTTTGCGAAATAACTGAAATTTAATCCTTATTCGATACTAAGAATCGCCTAATAAAAGAAATGTAAAAGGAAAATTCCTACTGTAATCGATACGCTTATCTGAATACGTGTTTGGCGCTATACAATCAAGGAACGCGACTTAATAAAATTCTATGGTCAACGACAATCGCGTCACTTAGAAAAAAAAACTCAAGATACGTGTGAAATTCTTTTATATTTTATGTACATTTAAAATATATGACACGTGACATTCGCGACGAATTTCTATTTTACAATGCTATTATATATTATACGATATATTATAAATCTAATATAACATAAAATCTTTTCTTGATATTTTACATAACTGTTCGCTTATACACAGCTAATTAGTACACATTTTCGCTTCATAGACACACACACATTACGGATATCACATTTATATTAATCTCTATGTCATACTTTCAATAAAACGAAACGAAACTGTACAAATATATATAATATATAATATATATATATATATATATATATATATACCATATGGTATATGAAGATATTTTTCTTTATTTCTTTGGAATGATTCTGGCCGAGTTTGCTTTCTTAGGCCAATATTACATTCGTTTATTTTTAATTGTACATTAAATATTTTGTAACGTATAAATTTTTCTAAGCGTGTTAATTGACTGTAGAACAGAGAAGTTCTCAGTCTATTCGATAGCCAACGACGATAGTCTATTCGATAATCAACAGGCTTGAAAAATTTGTTGTACAAAAACGGACAAATGTAATATTGGCCTTAAGCTTACGTGCTAAGACTAGAAACTAATATGGCTACAGCTATATACATACATATGTATTATTTCTGTCATTCGTTTATCTCTAAAATCATCGAATTGACAATCGTCTATCGATTTGATCATTTTATACTTTTTGTACTCACCTTCAGCAAACGCAAAAACATTGATTTCTATATTTTGTCTGTTATATATATTATCTGTGAGGAACAATGTTCACATACACATATATTTTATCATAATGCGACATTGTGGAGACGTATTAACGAGATTGTGTCTGTATTTTGTACATATCCTGATAAATATATTTTAAGCAATCACTTGAATTCCAATAGTCTTATCAAAAAGCTTTTATATTGACTTGTTTTATCAATATATACTGGAATAAATATCTTCAAGTGATATTTTTTATTGACTGGATTATATTTTTATGCTCGAGTTTATGATATATTTAATGTATACTACAAAGATATCATTACACGAATAATATAGAGTTATATGTCCAAGCCAATGATCTCAACGTGATATTAGAGATTAATATTTTATGAAATTAACAACAATATAATGATATATCATTATATTTGTAAATCTGTAAAAATTGTACTGATAATGTATAAATAATAATTATTATAATTCGATAATAATTATATCTGTAATCAGTTGCAATTGTTATTTTTCCAAGTTTTCTTTACATTTTGCCACTTTTACAAAATTAGCTGAGATTCACGT